GGGGGGAGGAGGGACCGGGGAGCCTCCCAGCCGCCCGAGCCGCCCCGAGCGCGAGACCCTCGAGACGGCCGCTGATTGGCTGGCGGTGGTGCAGGTGGTGGGCGCGCGGGAGACCGGGCGGCCTCGCTTCCCCCACTTGAGCGCCTCCGCCCCCCACTTCCCTCTGCCCGCAGCCGTTATTTCGCGCGCACGCGCACACAGCACCGATGGCGTCCTGAGCAGCGTGGGGAGCGCGCCCAGGGAGTTACGGCGGGGCGGGGTTTGAGCAGAAGCGCGTGCCCGCCTAACGGTCGTCGTGCTTAGGCTTTGGCTCCAGCTTTTTGATTCATGTCGGCCACCGTCCCCTCCCCACCCCAGAGGTTTATTTACAATCGCGGACGCGTTCGGGGTTTCCCGAAGATGGCGCCCAGATAAGTGTCCCGCAGAGCTCGATCCCGGTCCCAAGGGCAACTGTGACTCCCACCCGGGCCCCGCCATCCCTAAAAACCAGGCTCAAGCACGGAATAAAATCTGTATTTACACGAAGACGTCATTATACAGGGGTTTTAAAAGGGAAAGGTAGTGTTAAGAGCTGGTAGTCAGGAGGGGCCACAGTGCTGGCCGGCGGCCAAGCCCAGGAGGTTCGCCTGCAAGAGAGAGTGAGGTGCGTCAGCCCGGCAGCCGGGGTAGGGTAGGGTAGGGGGGCGGTGGGGTGGGGCGGGGCGCAGCGCGCAGGCGGTAGGGAAAGGGCAGAGATGTCCTTACCTTCAGGAAAGACTCCACCTGCTTTCCAGAAATGCCTTCCACCTGTTCCAGGTCCTCCACCTAGAGGACAGCAGCGGTGAGGAGGTGGACAAGGAGCGGGACACCCTCTCCACCTGCCCCCTAGGCTGGTACCTTGCTGAAGGGGCCATGGAGCTCCCTCCAGCCCAGGATGAGTTGGGCCTTCTTCTGGCCAATGAGCTGCAGGCTGCGCAGATCTCGGGCTGAGCCTTCATTCAGCAGATCCAATAATTTTTTGCGTCCATGTGCCAGTAACTCTGGGCTAATCTGTAGCTCCCAGCAGTCCTCAGCCTTTTCCACAGGCTTGGACTCTTGTGATGGCTCCAGCTATGAGGTGACAGGAATGACAGCAAAGGCCTGTGGATCACCGCCAAGACCAGGCGCCTAACCCTCTCCAGCCTCCCGTTCTGGTACTAAGTTTGCTGGACTTCTGGGCTCTAGTTTATAGTGAGCGAGCAGGAGCTAGGCCGCATACTAGATCTAGTCAGGAGCCAACCCAAGGGCAAGGGCATCGAAAAGAGGAAACCGACCAATGGTGGATACCCACTCTGTGAGATGCACACATCCAGTATCCTATGCAAAAGGTTCCCAGCTGGAGAACCGGGGTGGGGTCGGGCTCACCTTTCTTTTGTGGCCTTTCTTGAGAATGTGAATCTTTGACTCCGCCTGCTTCTGAACTGAAAGCAGGAATTAGGAGCTGGTCAGGCACAGGTCATCTCTCTCCCTTCCCACTTCCCTGGTAGCCATTGCTACTCCCATTTCTCCAACCTCGAGCTTTTTTTCTTTTGAGACAGGGTCTCACTCTATGACCAAGGCTAACCTGGAATTTAGAGCGATCCTCTGCCTCACCCTCCCGAGTGCTGGATTACAGGTGTGTGCCACCATATTCAGCCAATCAATACCCTGCTGTCTTAACTGCCATGACAAGCAGCCAGGGCTTCTTCAGACGCGGGGGAGGGGATGAGTGAGACATTTCTGAGACCCTGGGTCTCCGGGGACCCTGGGCCAAACTTACTTAGCTGCAGAGGCATCACCACTGCCCTTTTCAGGGGCCTTGCCGATGTGCCTGGACCAGAAGGGAGGGGCTGGGGCGTTGCCGGGGTGTTCTCTTTCTCCTTTGGGTCCAGCACCTCCTGGGCCAGCACCTTGGCCTCCAGTTCTTTTTGCTTCATCTTAAGCCTCTGTTGGAAAGGATCATGGGAAGCTGGGACTCAGCCCCGGCCCCAAAGCAGTGGGTTAGGAAGGGGACAGGCAGAGAGCTCTGCCGTCCAGGAGGATAGAGGTAGGACCAGCAGGAGAATCAACGAGACAGTTCAAAATAACTAAGGGCATTCGTATGATCAAAGGGCCACCTGAGACAGAGGAAGTCTTCAAGCAAGGAGGTTTTTTTTTTTCTAAGACAATGTCTCACCATGTGCCTACGGCAGGCCTGGAACTTGGTATGTAGATCAGACCAACCTCAAACTCACGAAGAGAGCTGCCTGCTCTCTTTTTTTGTGTGTGGGTGTTTTGCCTGCATGTCTGTCTGTGCGCCGTGTGTGCCTGGTGCCCTTGTGGTTAGAAGACAGGGCTGGGTCCCTGGCACTGGAGTTACAGGTAGTCATGTGCTGCCATGTGGGTGCTAGGAACTGAGCCAGTGTTCTTACTGCTGAGTCAGTCTCTAGCCCCGGGTGATATTTTTATTATTTATGAGGATGTACTTGTGTCTGTGTATGACAAAAGACATCAGAGGCGTAGGCTCCCTGAAGCTGAAAGCTGCAGGCAGTTGTGAGCTGTCTGAGGTGTTAGGAGTCAAAATCTGGTCCTCTGTAAGAACAATAGATGCTCTTAACCACTGAGCCATTCTCTAGCCCCAGGGAATGATTATTAATTTGGATCCCCCCACCCCTCTTATCTGATCTTAACTGTTTCTTAACCCAGGTTTGAACCCTAGCACCCACATGGCAGCTCATAACTGTCTTTTGACTCCAGACCCAGGGTATCCTGCACCCTCTTCTGGCCTACCATGGGCACTACACACACGTAGTTCACAGCCATACATGTCAGCATAAAACCCATATATATATATTTATATATAAATAAATCTTATGAAACCTGGACCAGCATCTAAGTGTCCTTCTCTGTCCGAAGATACTAGGAATACTTCTCAAAGCTGATTGGAATATTAGGTCACCTTCCCCAACAATTACCTCAATCTCCAAGTCCTTTTCCTCCACTGTCTTAATGAGTACCATTCGCTCTCGCTTTGGGGTATTCAGTAGAGGTGTCCCTTGGCTCCCCTGAGAGCCCAGCAAACGATCCAAGCTCAGGAGGTTCTCCAGCATGGCTGGGTCCATATTGCTTAGTTTCTGTAAGAGGCTGAGTAGAAAAAAGGTTACTCCCACCTACCTCCTCTCTCTCATCACCTCCAGTAGAGCAGGACTACCTTTGTCATGCCTTAACTTGGTGTTATCTGTATGGCAACTCTAAACAGTTAACTAGCCTCTGAGTATAGTAAATGGGTGAAGTAAACTCCCAGGGATGCCAGGTTAGCAGATGAAAAGCAGTTACGATGCACTGGATGCCACACATTAGGGCCCTACCATACTGCCTTGTCTAGGAGGCACTTGCGTGTGATAAAGAAAAAGAGACAGAGAGCTGGGGAGGTAACTCAGCAATTAAAATACTCGCCATGCAAGCAAGGGGTCTAGAGGTTGGAGAGCCACAGAAACTGCCCAGTGGGTGTGACAGCCTGCCTCTAATCCCAGCCTCAGAAGGCAGACATAGGACGCCCCCAAGCAAGCTGGCCACAACAGGGAGTTCTCAAGCCTCCCCACATTCACATGCACACCACAAACACATGAAAAATGAGAGTAAGAGCTGAGGGCGTGGCCATCTGGAAGCAAGCTGGGGATGCTCCACAGAAGAGGTCCTCATTAGGAGGTATACGACAGCTACTAGAGACAGGAGGAGATGCCC